GGGAAGGGTAAACAAAGGAGGAGGCTGCAATGCTTGGTAAGAAATGTACGCATTATCCTGCCCATGCAATTGTAACCCCTCTGTACAGTTTGTTCTCAAATAAAATAAATTAAAATTAAAAAAAATAAATAAACAAAGGCTATTAGTAGACATTTTTCGAGATATAGAAAATGTAGCCAGGTGCTCGTGGACCACACTTGTGATCTTAGTCACTTGGGAGGCTGAGAATCAGAGGATGGTGGTCCAAAGCCATTCCAGTGAGACCATTTCCTATAGTTCCATACTCATGGTGTTCATATGACCCCATTCCCATGGAGGAAATCTGAGTTCGAGAGGATTCTGTATGATCTTGTGCTCAAAGACCAGCCTAGGTAGAAGAGTTCAGTATGCTCCATCCCCACAGATGCTCTAACAGGGGCTGTGATTCCAGCAATGATGAGAAAGTTGATGGACCAGTGCTTAGGCAATTGCACATAGGCTTTTTAGTTCACGAACAGAGGACAGAATAGCAGGTTACAGCAGCCTTATGATGATCATAAGGCATTATTGCTAAAAAGAAACAGAGGGGAAACTCTGTGGCTCCCAGAATAAGGTAGAAGCAAAATTGTATAGCAGAAAAAAAGAAAGCAAGAAAACAGAGAAGGAGGGAAGGAAGGAAGGAAGGAAGGAAGGAAGGAAGGAAGGAAGGAAGGAAGGAAGGAAGGAAGGAAGGAAGGAAGGGAAGGAAGGAAGGAAGGAAGGAAGGAAAGAAGGAAGGAAGGGAAGGAGGGAGGAAGGGAGGGAGAGGAGGAAAAGAAAATAAATATTTCCTTACTGGATCGAAATATATGTGAACATTCTAGGAATAATGACAGACACATGATCAAGGGGAAAAAGGCAGCTGATGAATAAATGCTAGAGTGAATTCCATTCTTGTTATCAGAATGTTGATGCCATTCTGCAAAAGGATAATCACAAATGACTAAGAATGTTCTGAAGCAGTTTGCTTGATTGCTGACATATTTTTCAGATGAGAGGATGGAGGAGCATGGGCATCATAATGGGTAGAGCCAGTTGCCCAAATGCAAAAATGTGTGGAATTATGTCTCTGTATTTATGGTAGTTCAGACTCTCCTCAGTTGGCAACAGTGTCCCTATCAAGCACAATGGAGAATGGCCACACATTCCTCTGAAAACTCACTCCTGTTCTGCGTAGGATTAAAGAAAAATCATCCATTGTGTTCACAGGATTCTGAATAGAAAGAGGGTGGCTGACACCATGTGAAGAAATTTCAAATAATTAATGATCACAGATTTTGACAAATATAACACCGTATGGCGAGGCTATAGATGTCTCTCCATCCGTGGACACAGTAACCACACTTTTAGTGACCCAAAGAATTCAGGAGGAGGATCTTGATGGTTTACAAACTTGTTCTCTTTCTTTGACCAGAGTCTTTGACCCTGGTCTTATGATAATGAATGTGAAAAACTTCACAAAATTCCTTTACTTATAGATTCTTTGTAAACAATCCAGCCATGAAACACAAGAGGAGAGAACAAATGTAACACATGTAGGCCTTGGTTTATGGCATCTCCTGTGAGATTCTGATCTCCATAAAAGTCTGAAGTCAGTGAGTTTAGGTTAAAGGTGTTGACAGGGAACTTTTTAAAATGTATTCTCTTCCCTTATAATCTTCTTTGCTAACAAAAATAATAGCTTTATAAATTATTTATATCTTAATACTTTATAACATAAGGTAGGTATAAGGCTATATAGCCTTATAAATTATTTTATTAGCAAATATTTACTGCACGAAGATGCTTCATTGTGCTATTTACTGTGTGCTTACAATGTTCTTTAATCTTTTCTTTAGATGCTTGTTTAAAATGCTTGTTCAAGCAAGCATCTTGGAGGTGGCTTTTATATTCAATCTGCTGTATCTCCTAAAATCTGAAAAAATAGAGCATGATGTGAAAAAAATTCTAAGTGTTTTTGTCAGCATGAATGACATTCCATAAGAGATAATTCATGGCAAAAATATCTAATTACCCTACACATTAGAAATATCAAATCCAACCTTTATGTGTGAGAAAGCATATGATACATTATCTACATGATCTAGACATACACAAATTAAAGAAAACATAATAGGAAGGCAAATCTACATCAACGTAATGGCCTTAGGTACAATATCTAAAACAGTCTTACTTCTAAAAATAAAATGATATGTAAATTGTATTGTATTACGTGGTATTTCACAGTAATCAAACTCCTTTGTTGTAGGCTGGCTGTATGCCAGGAATAGGCTTCTGAGGAGGATGGGTATAAATAAAAAACAATGTTGAGAAATAAAGCAGAATGATTGCCAACAATGGCAGTCTTCTAAAAAGTAAGAGATTATGAGAGAAAATGATCCCCAGGGGTAGCTCAAGGATTTATATATGAGGGCACTTGATGTTTAAAGCAAGTAAAGTATCATAGTATCAGTCTGACTTGCTGAGAAAAAGCTTGAGGTTTTGTAAGTTAAATATTACTACATCCTGTAAGATTACTTCATGCATTTCTATCAAGGTAAGCACTAAAAGATCTGACTAATTGATCTAAATTAGAACAAAATTAATAAAAGAAAAAAGCACACACTTCGTATAATTTGCTGAAATGAGTTAGCTATATAATTCATATCACTTTTCTTCTTTGAAATTAAAGAGTTCTCTTCCAAAAAAGCCTAATGATATTCACAATGAAAATAATCTAAGATTAACTTGAAAACTAATATAATGAAAATATTAAACTTTTATTTACCAAAGTATGGAGAATGAAGTCAATAAAAATGGTAGTTATGAAAAATAGAAAATATGTATTTAGATTTCTGGGCAAAAGCATTATGAAATATAACAGAAAAATTTTAAGTAAGGTTGACTTATTACTGGGTAATATTAACTAAAGGAGCAAGTGTATGATTTTTGTTTTGCTTGAGATTTTAGTCCTATTGACTGCTTTGGTATGGTCAGTCTAAGTTACAGTGTTGTTTAATCAATGTTTTTTTGTTTCTGTTTTTGTTTTTGTTTTTTGGTCATTCATGGGGCTTGAACTCTAGGCCTGAGCGTTGTCCCTCATCTCTTCAGCTCAAGGCGAGCACTACCACTTGAGCTACAGAACCACTTCCTGTTTGCTGGTGGTTTATTGGAGATAAGAGTTTCACAGACTTACCTGCCTGGGCTGGCTTTTAACCTCGATCCTCAGATCTCAGCCTCCTGAGTAGCTAGAATTACAGGCATGAGCCACAGGCATGAGCCACCAGTGCCCGGCAAGTTATGTTTAACAAGTCATTAGGAAGGGAAAATAGAGAAAAGGAGTATCAGTTGATAATGAAGGTAATATATTAGAATGAAAATTCTTACATGAAAAAGAAAAAAAATACGAAAAAATGGGTGAAAGATTTTTCATATTTGGCTATTAAGTTCAAGGTTAATATTTATCATGTCTTGGAGAGGAGGTCTTAATTGGAATAATTAAAGAAGAATATAACGAAGTATGCTTCTCGCTCAAGTAGTAAAAAGCTAAAAACAGAGCTCTTCACCTGAGTTCAAAAAGCACCAGCACAAAAATAGTTGCATACCTGCCTGGTGCCTATAAGTCTAGCTACTCAGAAGGCTAATATCTGAGGATGTCTGTTTGAAGTTAGCCCAGGCAGAATACATCTGTGAGATGCTTATGTTCTAATTAATCACGAAAAGCTGAAAGTGTAGCTTTGGCTCACATGGTAGAGCTCTAGCCTTGAGCCTAGAGGTCAAGCCCCAGGACAGGCAAAAGTTTTTATCAAAATTTTTATAAGAGATGGGAGAATTGCAAAATGTAAAGGAATAATAATGGATCTATTTGTTTCCTCAGAAACAATGAATTAAGGAAATTTACTCTCATTTTGGAATATAAAAGGACAAATGAATACTCAGTATAAATAAGAAAGAAAAGCCCAAGGAAAAGCTAAAAATAAAAAAAAACCCTCTGAACTCAAGGAAGATTAAATATGATGACTAAGGAAGAGAAAAACATTTTTTAAATTTTATGTTATTGTAAAATTGCTGTACTGAGGGACTATAGTTACAGAAGTAAGGCAATGAGTACATTACTTGTGGATCATTGTTAACCCTTCCCTTGTTGTTGTCCCTTGAAAAACAATTATTATACACAGGCAAAACCAAGGAAAAGTTTCTAATATAATTCCTAATTTAAGGTGAAACAATGGAATGGTATTTCTTTATTATGTGTTCGAAATGATAACATTCCTTTTGCAATATGCTTAGTATAATTGAAACAAACTCTAATGAGGCATATTATAACTTATTTCTTTAAATGGATTGAGTTTAATTTCATAGCATTTTACTTCTGAGGTTTAAAATCTTATCAGAGACACACAGCCAGTCAGTGCTGGAAAGAATAGATTATATAAAGACATTGTGCACCCAATTCAGATAATACAAAAAGCCAATATAATTCAAAGGTGAATTATTAACCCTCTTGAATTTACCAAATCTGCAGATGGAGAGCAAGTTAGAACAGGAAAACCAAGCAATACTTCCATGATGGAATTTGTACTCGTGGGCTTTTCTGACAGTCCCCATCTCCAGTGGATACTTTTTGGGATATTTTTACTTATGTACTTGACAATTCTGTTATGCAACAGCCTCATCATAGTAATTACAAGGACAGATGCCACCCTCCAAACACCGATGTATTTTTTCCTTAGCCATTTTTCCTTTCTGGAAATCTGCTATGTAAATGTCACGGTGCCACGCATGCTCACGGATCTCTGTTCCCAAAAGGGAAACATCTCCTTTTTCGCCTGTGCTACCCAGATGTGTTTTGTCCTTATGCTGGGAGGCACTGAATGCCTGCTTTTGACAGTGATGGCCTATGACCGTTACGTGGCCATCTGCAACCCTCTGAACTATGCTCTGGTCATGAGCCACAAGGTCTGCGTGCAGCTGGTGGCCGCCTCGTGGGGCAGTGTCATTCCAGTCGTGATTGGACAAACCTGCCAGATCTTCTCTTTGCCATTCTGTGGGTCTCACCGGATCAATCATTTCCTCTGTGACCTTCCTCCCGTCCTCAAGCTCGCCTGTGGCGACACTTTTGTGAATGAGATAGCAGTCTATTTGGTCGCAATGGTGTTTGTCACCATTCCCTTTCTGTTGATCATCGTGTCCTATGGCAAAATCATCTCCAACATCCTGAGATTGTCCTCGGCCAAAGGGAGGACTAAAGCCTTCTCCACTTGCTCCTCTCATTTGATAGTGGTAGTCTTATTCTATGGCACTGCTAGTATCACTTATTTACAGCCCAAACCGAACCAATCTGAGGCAATTGGGAAGTTACTGTCTCTTTTCTACACCATTTTGACTCCTACGGTGAACCCCATCATCTACACACTGAGAAACAAGGATATCATGGTGGCTCTGAGAAAAATACTAACCAAGTTATTACCATGAGCAAACTATTGGATATTCAGAATTTCTTTTTTGTTGTTGTTGTTTCATTCTGTGTCTGTTACATAGCCTAAACAGAAAACTTAGCTTCATTCTTGGATTCTTCAGAAACAATTTTGTGTCCGTCAATAACCTTAGGTAAAGGGACCTCTGTTTTATAGAATTTAGTTGTGTAACGTTAGACTACAGATAAAATCATTAGCCTCTATCTATTATCAGGTCAATATTTGTATTGTTAAATATTGAATTAAGACACTGTTTGATTATAAATTTGTCATTGCAAGAACTGAAGGAAATTAAACATAGTTGTACAGTGTATTCCACGGGTCGATTTCTTTTCTTTTCTTTTTCTTCCTTCCTTCCTTCCTTCCTTCCTTCCTTTCTTCCTTCCTTCCTTTCTTTCTTTCTTTCTTTCTTTCTTTCTTTCTTTCTTTCTTTCTTTCTTTCTTTCTTTCTTTCTTTCTTTCTTTCTTTCTTTTTTGGTTGTGGGGCTTGAACTCTGGGCCTGGGCACTGTCCCTCAGCTCTTCAGCTCAAGGTGAGCTCTCTAACATTGCAGCCACTGTGTCACTTCTGGTTTTCAGGTGGTTGATTGGAGATAAGAGTCTCACAGACTTTCCTGCCTTGCCTGGGCAGGCTTTGAAACCGTGATCCTCAGATCTCAGCCTCCTGATTAGCTAGGATTACAGGCGTGAGCCACCAGCACCTGGCTCACAGGTAGATTTTCTTTCAAAGGGTTCACCACATTATAGAGTGTACTTGCACAGAAAAACAAAACAAAACAGCAGACAAACATGGGCAGATGGAAAGAAACTCAACCTCAGTAAATTTCCAGCACTTCCCTTTTTTCTATATACAGTTTGCAGTCTTGGTTCATATCTGTTGCCTTCTGCAAAAAAAATCTCCATGTCTATAAGGTTCAAACCACCAAGAAGGAAGATGGAGTCTAATGTCTCTGTCATGTCATTAAGCCAGGGTAAACCCATTAAAACAAGTGCAAACTGCCCAGGAAGAACTTTACTGTTGCCACCAGAGTTTCTTGAATTTTGCACAGCATCTTATTAAAGCTCACTGATCTTATATAGGAGGAAAACTATTTTAATTCACTTGCCTGGCATAGTGGTGCTTTTTTGTGGTATGAGAAACTCTGGGGATGGAGGAAGAAAAACTGGGTGTTTAAAATCAGTCTAGGGAAAGACAGTGAGTTATTTGCTCTGAAATGAAACAAAACAAGTTAAAATAAAGTAATAAGTATTTAACAAGAAGAGGACAGGAGCATAATTTAAACGTGGGAGGCTTGAATAAGCAAGGTTAGGATGACCTGTATCATCAATAAAACAGTACTACTGAACAAGCAAGGTTAGGATGACCTGTATCATCAATAAACAGTACCACAGAAAAGAAACAGAGGGGGAAAAACCACAAAAAAGCTAGCACTTGAACTACACAACTCATCTAAGCAGTTCCAGGGATGGAAACAGATTGTGATCAAAAAGGTAGAAAACTAGAGACACCTTGTTAGAAATCTCACACCACAAGTAAGATGAAATATCTCCAGGACATTTGTAATCACAAATAAGAAATGGAAACAAAATCATTCTGAGAGTTCTGCTTATCATTATCACAAACACAGCACAAGGGCTATATTTTAGAATAGCCATTTGCCATGGTGGGAAACATTGATGATGGAAACTGTGATAAAAGGAAGTGGATGGAATTTCCTTCAAAAAAATCCACATGATATCTTGCAATTCCAGGGTTTAATTCTACTCCATATGAAGAGGAAGAAATACACAGACACACACAGACACACACACACACAACTCACATACACAAAACCTCTTCCAAAAAATTAACAAAATGTTCAATAAATGTTTTACAAATGGCCAAGAAGAAAAAAATCAATAATAACAAGAAAACTGATTACAAGACATTATCATAATATAGGCATTCATCTCATTGATAATTTTCCTACTGACAATTCGACTTTAGAAGTCAGTATAAACAGTGTAGTGAATATCCCATTGGGATAAGAACTGGCCTCAATTAAAATAATGATTAAAAAAATCTCTAAATGCCAGAAGCAATTGACGTTCATTCAATTAAAGTCTGGGAAAGACCAGCTTCTTTGGGTTCACTTTTTCATATGTTAGATTGATTCATTCCAAGTTTTTATTTTATTCTAACTATAGTGTATTTCAAGAGTTGATTACAATTATGACACAGGGAATCCCATGAATGTATCTAAGCAACCCAGTGTTCAAATAAAAAAAATTAAGAATACAAAGGGGATTGTCTAATACAAGGAGATTGCATTTGGAACCTTAAGTTTATATATGTATATATAAACTTATATAGTAGAAATATATTATGCTGATATTATTTGTATTTACTGATACTTATTTATATATAAATATATTTATCTCAATCTCAAGTTTAAGTATTACCAATTTTGTCAATTTGGTTAATAATTATAGATATGTCTATTTTTTGGTGGTCTCACAAAGTATTCTCAACATGTACAATATCCTGTACAATAACCATTGCTGTGTACTTTATTTCACAGAGAGCCTGAAGAGAGAGTATCTTGAGCAGAGTTAACTGTTATCTTGTTTTTATAAAGAAACCAAATCAATAGATGTCAAAATCATATTTTTAACTGCAAAATCAAATTGTAAATAGGGAATGTCCCTAGGGAAGCCAGAAACACCTTTAAAAGTAGGTACAGTATCTTTGATGACATAAGTGGCTTCATTTAAAGAAGTCAAAATATCTATGCACAGAACCCCCAACAATAAGGAAGTATTTAACCTTAATCCACATAAGGCAGGTAAATATGAACTGCTTTGCATTAATGTATTTATATTACAATTATTATTTAAGATCTAGTAGAATGCTTTAATTAAAATTGTACACATATTTCCTATGTAATATACAGGTAAGTTCAAAAGAAGTTTAAGGATTCATGCTATTATACAGAAAACATAGAATCAGAACTGAATGAAGCATAGTTTTCTCTCTCCCTCTCCCTCTCTCTCTCTCTCTCTCTCTCTTTCTATATATATATATATATATATAAATATGAGTTTGAGGATTATTACCATTTCCTCTAAAAATGTTAAGTTTGAGAGAGCAGAGACTTTAATTTAGAAATAAAACATCATAGCACTGAGTTATATTGCTTTTAATTAATAAGAGACATAAGTATCTAGAGTAGCACATTGAGTGAATTTAGGCTCTTTGTACCTGTTTCTTTCAAGTATAGCATAAAAATAAGATAAATCTCCTTTTAGATGCATTAGTAATTTCATTATTAAAATTTGAAGTTGGACTATAGCAACTCAGGGAGAGCACTCAGCCTCTGAGTTCAAGGCCCAGTAACAGCACACATAAAAAATAGCAACTTTTATGTAGAATGTAATAATTTTACAAACTTTTTTAAAATTTTGTTTGATGTGCACTAAGATCATCAGTTTCCTGAGATGGAAAGAGTTGTGTTGGGAAATTTTCACAATAGCCTAAGTGAAACTTTAATTGAATTTTAGCTCATTTTGGTAGAACACTGTTTCACTTCATAAGATCCAAGTCACCAGGTTGGAAAATATGAGCCAAGATTGGAATTAACAATCAGATCTAAGACAATTTAGGGACAATATTTGAGCAGATTCATATTAAGTGTATGCAAGTTCTTTAGAATTGTTGAGTTCTTGTTTCCCATTGAAGGAGTCTCACTTAAATCACCATATTGTGAAACTCAATGTAAGACAGAATAGAAGAAAGTAATTTTTAAACAACTTAATCCATTAAATAAATGGATGTTATTTACAAAATACAAGAGTTATAGCAATGAAAAAATTAGTGAACATAGTAGAGTATCTTTATTTTTATATAATTATAGCTATGGAATCATTGCTAGTAAAGAATCACTATAAAATTGGTCAGAATTTACCAACATTACCTGAAGTCTCAAAAATAAAGAATCTTAGAATTATTATGGTTAATAAAAATAGAGTTAGGATTCAAACCCAAGTCCAATATAAACAAAATATGCATTGAATTAAAATAAGAAGAATATATCCAAATCAAATTATATGTGGCTATTTGGTCTCAATATCTTTTTTTTATTTGAAACTCTGAAGGTTAGAAATGGATGAAGTGTTTCTTTGTGAGGAAAAACAAAGTTCACAGTTTTGCACACTTTAATTGGTAAATGGGCTTTATTCTACATATTCCTAGGACACTTTTACCAAATAATACCCTCTTTTATTTCCCATATAATATTCTACCAAAAGAAACATTTTTGCCCTTTGCAATTCATAAATTATTCTTTTTAGTTTTTAGAGTGTTCTAGAAATTATTACCTCTATTGAAAAGTGGTGTTGTTCCAAATGAATGATAGAAATGAAGAGTGAGGAAGTGAGCTGAAATATACAAATTTACAAATATAATTTTACTATATATTTAAAATTCTAGAATTTAAAAAAAATGAAGAATCATTTTAGAAATTTTTCTCAAAAAGAAATGATCTTGCCAGGCGCCTGTAATCCTAGCTACTCAGGAGGCTAAGATCTGAGGATCACAGTTCAAAGCCAGCCCAGGCAGGAAAGTCTGTGAAATTCTTATCTCCAGTAAACCAAAAGAAAACTGGAAGTGACGCTGTGGCTCAAGTGGTAGAGCACTAGCCTTGAGCTGAAGAGCTGAGGGACAGGGCCCAGGCCCAGAGTTCAAGACCCATGACTGACAAAAAAATTAAATTAAAAAAAAAAGAAATGATCTTTGGAGGTACATGACATATATTTCAAGTTAAAGACTATGTTGCATAGTCTTTAAAATTAATCCTTTCTCAGATTTATTTGCTTATGAAAGAGAAAGAAGTTGAACTTCTTATTTTTATTAGAATAAAGTATCAGCAAAGTCATAATACTGAGGAAAGAGGAAATTGAGAAAGTTGAGCTTAAATATAGTGGTAATTTTTTTGTTATCCTTTTGGAAGCTTCAACAAACATCAAAAACAGTGATGGCTCTCTAGATTTATTTTAGAATTGTTTAGCTTTGGGACCAATTTCATCTCTGCAGATTCTTTTGAAGACAAGGTAAAAGTATAAGAGAAAGGAGAGTATATTAATTGAAATTTCTTTATGAGAAAAATTATCTCTAGCAAATTCATGAAAAATAATACATTATCAGTGATAATGGAAAATGAACAGAGGTCAGAAAAAAATCATTGACTTAATAGTGTTTATTCTTGTAGAAGCATTTGGTTTTTTGTATGTTTTGTGTGATAAATAAATACAAAACCGTTCCTTTGTGTGATAATGCAAAATCAAAGTTGCTGGCCATGTATTCCTAGTGGGCCAGTCAATATTAACAGAGTTCCATTAACTACAACTAGACACAGATTATTAACCATAGAGGAAAGAGCTGGACAAAAGATGTTCCACTGGGAAAGAAAGTGAAGTTATTTTACCTTTACCTGAACTATTCTTCCCTCTTTTAGGCTTTGGGTTACCAGAACTAACTGGCTGAATTTCTTGAATGATCAGGGATTTAGTAATGATCACTTTTTAATTTTGGTTATTTCTCTCAGGAGTAATTGTCTTTTAAAAATACATGAAAGCAAAGAAAAAAAGATTTCATTACTGGGCAGAAATCATAGTATTGATATTTTGGATTTCATTTACTTTTTAATCAAAACTGGAGTCAGCTTTAGAACCTACGATTTACTACTATCCAGCTTCTCTGAGTATAGCCTTCACTTTGATATTTAAAAAAATGCCTCTAATCCTGTATTTTACAGCAATGATTAATGGTTAAGTTTTAATACATTTTAAGGATTATGCAATGTAAATATTGTAACAATGTAAACAATGTGAACATCCTGTATTTTTAAAAAATGGTGTTTGAAGAAGTAGTTATACTTAATCTGATGTAAAGATTATGCAGTGTAAACATGAATCAATGAGGTGGTAAACCATTGACACAGACAATCTCTATCTTTTTAGGAAGCAGTCCAGATAGTTTTAAATGTATGTGAGAAACAGTTCTATAACAAAGTGCCTCTAGAACATGATACAGAGAATCCGTAGAAGGGAAAACAAAAGAAAATTCAGAGATTTGATCTGCACAGAATACTATTAACTATATAAAATAATGCAACAACTCTGTGATAGAATATACTCAATCAATCTGAGACACAAATACAACACAACAGATTTTTTTTAACAATCATAAAACACAAGATCTATAAGTAAACGTTTTGTAATTTGTTTTACTACTAAGATCCAGCTCAGCAGCCATAGGTTAGATAATACTATTGACTTCTACTTGCTTGTATTTTTTCTGCAAAACCTTTTGGAGGACTTTAGAAATCATGAGATTAAACATGTTTTGGGGGTATTGTGAGAATCCAAGTAAGACTTATAGCAACATCGGTTCAAATTGAAATATACCCCAGGCTTTTTCTCAGGAGAAAATCTATAAAGATCAGTTTTATTTGATCTGAAAGTCAGGACTCAGAGGTTTTCCCAGCCCTCTGTTCACAGACTGTGGAATTTGTAGTTCTGGTAACAAATAGCAGCCTGTCTTACCTGCAGTGCACCTTATGATATTAAAGTAAGGGTTTTTAGTCTAGTTTAGAATAATACTATATAATAAAAAGTACAAAAAAATCACAAAATGTGTTTTATTTCCCAGGAATTGCAAATTAGTGTAGTGTGGCCATTGACTTTGTCTGACCTCGTCTGTCCAACTGACAAAAAATAATACTGGAAAGATTCTTAAGAAATGTCAGGGAATATATACAGTAATAAAGCCCATGATTTAAAGTAAGGAAATGAGAAGCATGTTAGTAGAGACATTTTTACTTTGGAAACCATGTGATCGGTTCATCCTGATGACAGTGTACATTTAGGGAACAGACTTTTATCCCTAGAGGTAAAATGACAGACTTGTGTGACATGTTTCCTTTCTGCAGATGATGCACTATCCAAAACCACCAGAAGAAAATTTAACTACACTAGTGGAATTTGTTCTTTTGGGATTTGCTGATGCCCCTCGTCTCCGGTGGTTTCTATTTGGATTATTCTTTGCCATCTATATGATCATTTTGTTGGGGAATGGCACCATCTTAATAATAACAAAAGTGGATCCAAACCTCCATACACCCATGTATTATTTCCTTGGGAATTTTTCCTTTTTGGAAATCTGTTATGTATCAACTACACTCCCCAGAATGCTCCTGAATCTTGCGACCCAGAGAAGAAATATCTCTTTAGTTGCTTGTGCTGCACAAATGTGCTTTGTTCTGATATTAGGAGCCACTGAATGTTTCCTTTTGGCTGTGATGGCTTATGACCGGCATGTGGCCATTTGTCAACCTCTACACTACCCTCTACTCATGAACCCTAAGGTCTGCACCCAACTGGTAACTGGGTCCTGGATCAGTGGAATTCCATTCCAAATAGGGCAGACAATCCAGATTTTTTCTGTGACATTTTGTGGCTCCAACCAAATCAACCACTTCTTCTGTGACATCCCTCCAATACTCGGTCTTGCCTGTGGAGAAATCCTCGTGAATGAAATGATGGTCTATCTAGGGGCTATGCTGTTTCTCTTTGTTCCATTTCTGTTAATCCTTGTCTCTTACAGCAAAATCATCTCTACAATTCTTAAATTGCCATCAGCCACAAGTCGGGCAAAAGCCTTTTCTACCTGTTCATCTCATCTTGCAGTTGTTGGGTTATTCTTTGGATCAAGTATTATTACATATTTAAGACCCAAAAGTGATCATTCAGCAGAAATGGACAAAGTGTTTTCTCTGTTCTATACCATTTTGACTCCCATGTTTAATCCCATCATATATACCTTAAGAAACAAAGATGTCATATTGGCACTGAAAAAATTATTTTGTAAATAAAAACTAAAAAGCTATATATGTTTTATATTTGCATGCAACTAATCAAAGTATAAAAACCTGTTTTTAGCTATATTTTAACTATCTATATAATTTTATTTCCAGATTAAAAAACATATGCTATTGAAAGTTGTTTAAATTAATTCAAATTAAATTAATTTACACTAATGTAAATTAAATTAAGGAAAAGATGAATGTGACTAAACAGGTACTTGTTTGAATAGCACTCTGTAATATTTCAATGAAACACCAACCACAAGAGAACAGGGCCCTTTTAATTGACTCAGAAGTAACAAAGACTCTAAGATGTAATTTGCTGAATATTATGTAATGAATTTTCATAGATTTAAGGCAACTATATTAAAAATAGGTAAGTTATAGAAACAAAAGACAGAGAAACACATTTTCATTAGACAATGGCAATTTATAGATAACTCTTCTTAATAAAGGGTCTCATTTGGGGGTATTTAGCTAGTGAGGATATAACCATAGCAGCAAAGGTTAACCATGATTAAGATATTTATAGAACAGGATATGTGACTGAGGTTCTACTTTTGACAGAGCATTCACCTTTGAACATACAACAGTGCTCTCATCGTGATGTAGTTGTACATTCATTTTGGTGAGGCCACATCCAAGCCCTATGTACATCATCATGTTTTGCTGTGATAATTGTTTTATGAGTCCATGGTAACCATGGAAAAACTTAGCTAGTGTTATCAGTTAGTGACACTAACTAATGATAGTATAAACACACACACACACACACACACACACATACACAACCCCCTTTTTGAGGCTCTTCTTTCAGTCTGCATTTAGATGTGGTACAGATATCGTCTGTGTATTTGACCATTTTGAAGAAATATTTACATATTTATGTATGACTCTCAAAGTTAACTTTCACTCTCTTCAACTCCATTCCTTCCAAATCTGTGAATATTTTGTCAAGCCAAAATTTTCAACCAATGGATGAACACACACACATAGATTGTTATAACAGCAATATTTCACTAATTAACCAATCATACTAATGATTTTAAAATGGGAAATATGGAATAAAATGCAAGATCAAGCCGAAGGAGAGGAGTATTGAACATCAGAAGTCAGTATAATCAAAATGTAGAAAATAAGTATAGTCAACAGTGAAACAATCTGGTACCTGACCTATTTTTGTATTTATTTCGCACTTATTAATTCTTTTACTACACTTACTTCTATGTCAGTAGAATACACTGCATTTTGTTAGTCATTCTCGGGGGTCCAGTCATGGGGCCTGAACTCTGGGCCTGGGCGCTGTCCCTCAGCTCTTCAGCTCAAGGCTAGTGCTCTACCACTTGAGCCACAGCGCCACTTCCGGCTTTTTTCTTTTTGCTTATGTGGTGCTGAGGAATCGAACCCAGGGCCTCATGCATGCAAGGCAAGCGCTCTACCACTGAGCCACCTTCTCAGCCCCTTGTTAGTCATTCTGAAATCATTTTACAAATCTTTGTGATAATAGTGTAGGATTTTTCTATTTTCTAACCTGCCTAATTTCTAAGCATGAATTTGTTCATATCATCCTATTCTTTTTAAAGAATGGCAGCAGGAACATGTTTTGGATCCAAACACATAGCCTGAACCTAAAATGCATGTTTTAAGAAAAGAAAATGAGGCTATATTTGATGATTTACTCTTGTAATTATGCATGAAATGCAGTGATGAATCTTTTGGAGGCTAGTTTATGAAGGCAAGAATGAGGATGAGAGACAGTGAGAGAGATGAGAGTCTGATCAAGGTTTTGTGTGTGTGTATATATATGAGTAGATAATAAATTTATATATATCAATATATAATATACAGTTTATACACACATATATACAATAGATAAGAAATATATATACAATTGATATATACAGCATATATACAATTTATACACTTATATATAATATATACACTACATGTATATATATATATATATATATGTTAAATGAAACTCCTTTGTAAAAGTAATTGATGTTAATTTAGAAATGAAAATTAAAATCAAACCCCAGTGACAGGAATTTGTGATCTCACCTATGTGGGAGACATGGGTAAGAGAATCGCCAATAGCTTGGCCCCCACTAAAATACATTATTCTATCTGAAAAAATAATTAAAACAAAGGCCTGTGGGTGTGCAAGAAATGATAGAGCAATGGATTGCCAAGGGCAAGGGTCCAAGTTTCAAAACCAGTTCCATGTTTCCAGTGTGGACTTTCAGGGGAAAAAATAAGATTTACATTGAAGAGAACACTCTTAGGAATCCTGCACACATAGGAATTTTGCCTGTTTAGAGATGATGTATTCTGAACTTGTCAATATTTATATCACTCAGCAATTACAACTTAAAATTTTTAAATTTAAATGTTTAGATATTTTTACTTTATTTTTGTTTGGATTAACCTACTTTTTTTGGTAGAAATAATAATTGTCTTCAGTTAAAATGTGACAGGCCCTAGAGGCTCAGGCCTTTAGTCCTAACTACTCAGGAAACTGAGATCTGAGGATAATAGTCTAAGCCAGCCCAGGAAGAAAAATCCAATGACATTACAATTAAGCAGCAAAAAGCCAGAAGTAGATGTGTGGCTCAAGTGGTAGATGGCCAACTTTAATTAAAAAAAGACAAGCAGGACTGTAAAACCCCAGTTCAAGCACCAGGACAGGCATATATTAACAAGTGACATAAGATAGGATTTTTATCTTCATGGTAGAGAATACTTCACACTATAGGGAATATTTACTACAATGTTTTGGCTTCTATTTCAATAAAGATAAAACCTTAAATTTTGAAAAACAAAGTTCTTCATATTTTTATCTTTCACTGAAATCATGCATTAGCATTCAGTAAATTCAGAGAAGATGAAGTAATTTTTACACATATCAGATTTAGTATTTTCATTTTTAGCATCAGAAATAAAATAAAATTAGAGAAAAAAGTGCAAAGAATCTTTTGTGGTTAATTTTCTTAAATTCAAAATATTCAGTGCTCTTATATTGCTTTAGTATTCTGAAATTTTTGATTAAGTGAGAGGAAATTAAAAATTAAAAATTCCTTCAAAAAATGGGCTAATATATTAAAGATAATTTACTGGCACCAATGACTCATTCCTGTAATCTTAGTTATTCAGAAGTCTGAGATGTAGAGGATCACAGTTTGAGGCCAATTTTTGTAGAAAAATCATTAACTAATCAGAAAGCAGCCACATTGGAAACATGGCTCAGGTGAAAAAGTGCCATGTAGGAAACAAGCCAAGGAAACATACGATCCCGAGTTAAAAATCAGGTACTAGATAATTGAGATTAAAGTGTATAGAAATCTAATTATATATTAAAGGAGCAAAGCATTACATGTTCATTATTAAAGTGGTTATTCCACCTTGCTATGATTAAGCAACCTTTTGTGTATTTAAAACTCAGATCCATAATAAAGAATCTGAAAATATTAGGGAAGTGTTAACATGTTAACATTTTAAAATGTTAAAAATCTTTCCCTTTTTCTTTAGTGACATCCCTTGTAGAATATAACAGTCAAGATTATCTTCTTTAGTTATCTATGTTCAGTATTATTTCTGAAATTTATTATGAATATCAGCACTATGTCTATTTTGATGATAAATGCTTAATTCACTTCACATTTTTCATGAGGTATACCTATCCAAACATTAGATATTTGAATAAAAACAAAAGCTGTTATATTTCACTGTATTACCCAGTGATTTTCTTTCCTAGAGATACAAAGAAATGTTTTCAACAATGACCCAAACTCAGAAAACCCAGGAAGATTGCTAGTGTTGCCAAAGGGAAAACTTATGACAATATTGTGTTGAGAAGGTAAGAACAATTGACATGAAGTAATAACAACATGTTACTATTTTGCTTTTAGTTTTCTTTAATATTTACAATAACATTCATATTTAATCTTTATAATATTCAATATTTACAATATTAGTTCATTTTATGAATGAAAAGCTAAAACTTCTTTGATGAAAGTAAAGAAGTACAACACCCACATGTGTACATTAAGTGGTAGAGCACTTGCCAACCATTCACATGACCCTTAATTCAAACACCACCATCACTTTCTCAGTGGTATAGATCAGTGTGAATTAAGAAAAATAAAGTACAGATAGCAATCTGTGTTGACTTAAGGGTCTTAAATGTAAGAACTTGCTGGAGTTTGACTCTTTTGTTCAAGAAAATAAGATTAAATTAGTGAGCAGTATTTCACTGCAATCTCCCTGGTTGTGAGTGGGCATGTATGTCAGTGACGAGCTGAAGAGAATGACGGATCTTCAGACACAACACACTTTTGATAATTGAACCAGAATGTTTACCAAATGTAAGCAATGCCCTCATCATTGAATTGATACACCAGAGATGATCATCCCTAGGAGATGACCGGCCCCAAGGGGAGACTGATGACTTAAGAACCAAGGATATTTGAAGCAAGTATAAAACCTGTAGAATGAGTGTGAGCTACTGGAGTCAAAGAAATGACAATTCTAAAATTAAATCTCATAACCCACTTGACTAACATTCTTTTGGACTGCTTCATGCAAATTCATGAAGGTAAGTTATTTGGCTGATCTTAAAAAGGTTTCAGAGAAATCATGAAACTGTTCTTTATCTGAAAATGAGAGAATTATCTATACATTTTTATGCTCTTAACATTTTTAACTACAAAGTTAGCTACTATTAGTCATGTGTGAAAGAATGATAATGGCAGTAATGATGACAATCATTTATAATAAATTTGAAAATTATGCTAGAAATTTGGAAATAGGGATGTTTAAAAAACATTCATCATTGCAGGTATTAAGTGAAAATAATGTGCTGAGTAGATGGTAAACACACAGAAAAGATAAGAAAATACATATCTGGTTTGGACAGTGGGGAACAGACACTGAGAAATTGTTATAGGAATCGTCAAGCTGGTCTTACTTCTACATATTGGATGAAACTAAATAAACTAGGGAGAGGAGCA